AATCTGTTACATATATGTTTGAAAGAATTGAAAAAATGCCTCCGTTGAGATTTTGATTTGCTGAAATACTTTGATAGATGGGTAAATATATATATATATATAAAATATATGTATATATAGTAATATGATTTATATATTTATTTTACTTTAAAAAATTATTAATGTATATATAGTAATGTAGTTGAAGTATATTTTTTATATTTACTTAAAAGAAAATATATATTTATGTATATAAATAATATATATATAGTAATATAGTATTACTTTTAGTAAATTGTGATAAATTATTGTATATAAATTCTTATATTATTATTTTTAATTTTTATTACATATTTTTTATACAGGTTTTTTTTTTTAAATTATTTATCAATTAATCTTTATTTATTTGAGGATTTGTTAACAAAGTTTGAGAAACAAATATAAGCATAAGGGACCGTTGCAGTCGGGCTTTACCGACTACAGAATGCTCCCTCATGGCTCAAAGGCTATCTGATAAATTTTCCTATTTGAATTTCCTAGTTGAATTCCTGTTGAAATTCTTCTATGTGTAAATCTTTAAATCTCGCCCTATAGAGAACACAATTTTTGCCGTTTTCGGGTATATGTGGAATATATATAAAATACTCCAGTATGTTTTGTGACTAAAAATTCATACAATAATTGACATCAGTATAACAAACTGTAAATAATGCCCTTACATATACATATATCCATAAGTTATTTATTTTGCTTGATTAATTTAAAGTTATTCAATGTTAAATAAAAATACGTAAAATAAAATGAAAAATAAAATCAAATTTTTGCACATTTTTTAAAACTAATTTCAATGCATACTTGAATAGATTTATGCGCTATATAAATGAATAATGAAAGCATAGCTGAAATATATTGCAATCAATAAAAATGCGTACAATAAATAGAAATGAATAAATATATATTCAAGCAAAAATGTCAACGAAATGTTAAGTGCACAGCGCCACCTGTTGTTCTGTAGCGGCTATGCAGTTCGTGAGGCCGGCTGCTGAGCTGGCATTATGGCAAACAAATTTTCACTTTATCGTATCTGTTGTTCTGCTTATTGTTTATTCTTGTTGTTGTTGTTGTTGGATCGTTTTTGTTTTGTTTTGAATGCGCCCGACAATGGGCGTCTCATAAGGTTTTAATTATTTACTATATTTAGGTCTGCGCGCCTTGGATCGAAACTAAAAATTTAGCCAAACTCATTGCTGCAATTAGTCAACGGCAGCGGCAGCGGCAGCGACAGCGACAGCATCTGCTGTCGGCACCTGCACACAAAAATGCCAAGTAAATTTCTAAATTCTCAATGCTCGATTCTCGATTCTCGAATCGACCAAATTTCTTATTGTAGTTCCGCCTACGTCGACGCTGCGGCTGTCGCTGTGGCTGTGCTTCCGCTGCTGCCGCTGTCGCTGCCGCCGCTGCCGTCGCTGCCGCCGCTGCTGGCAGTGGCATACTGGGCGTATTGCTGCCACTCGGCTGCCGTTAGCCATTCGCACAAGTTGCATGTTGAGGCGCGTTAAGTTTTTCTTTTTGCTTCTGCGGCTGCCTTCGCATTGTTATTTTATTTTCGGTTCGCGTGCGCTGTGCATATTTTAAAGTAGGTTTTCTTTCTCTCAAACTCGCACTCGCGCAATGTTCATTATATTTGCACTTGTTTAATTGTACTTTTGGCCTGGTGTTTTATTTTATTTTATTTTTATTTTTTATTTATATTTTTTTTTTTGTTTGTGTTGCCGTGCTAAAATCTTAAACTGCGTTCAGTTTAGCCCGCTTCCCTGGCTCAGTGAGTGCGCGTCAACTCTCAGTTAAGCTGAAGATTACGTCAGTTTAATGAGCATATTATTTACATATTTATTATCGTTTCATTTGCAACGGTTCAGGCACAACAGCCAGCGGCGACAACGTGGGCGTGGCAACAAATGCATACAGGTTCGTGTGAACGCTTTATAATTAGGCATTAACTGATGTCTGCACTTTGTAATCTCATGCTCACACTCGGCTAATCTCTCTCGCTCTCACACACACACATTCTCTCTCTCTCTCTCTCGCTCTCTTGCTCTCTTGTGCGAGCGCTTAAATTTGTTTTCTTATAAAATTTAACAAATGCAGAGCTTAAACGGATCATTGTAGTTCTTGTAGAAGTGAACTTTGCAAGAAAAAGTCTGAAAAGGGGGAGGGGAAGAGGGAGATATATATATATGTATATTTATCAGAGATCGAAGCAGAATGAATGCCTGAGTGCAAGTGAAATTAATATGGTTATATTTTGATATACTAAATAATAACAATTTGCTTGCGCAAAGAGAAATATTGCCCATCTGCTCTCCCACACTTTCTTAGAGAGATCTCCCCCAGGATCCTTTGTTTATATGTATGCCAACATATATTAATGCTAATGCATCATCCTCCGTTAGTTTTCAGTTTCACTCATCAGCTCATCATCATCAGCCATCAAGCTATAGCGAGTGAGTTTATCGGAGATGTTCTTATAGAAGATATCATGAGTCAACCGCATTCTTGTATAGCATATACAGTATATATTTTAAATTGTTTTATTTTTAAGTTTTATCTTTAAGCTACTTGTGTGTGCTAATATTATTTATTTGCATATTTATAATTTTATTTTATTTTATTTTATTTTATAATTTATTTTATTTTATTTTATTTTATAATAATTTATATTGTATTTAATTTGATTAATTATTGTTTTATTTATTTATTATTTTTATAATTTTATGATTACAATATTTTTCAAAAAGTCTTATACAAATAATTTAAAGTGCTCAGCAAAAGCGAGCTTAATAAAAAAAAAATTAAATTAGAATAATACAGCAGAAGACATTTGCATAGAAATCTGTTTGGATAGCTATGAGGGATGTATTTGCTTGGAGCACGAGCCGGGATGCAGATGCAGTGCATCTCAGCTCTCTCCTCGCTGCTTTTTGACTGAGATTGCCCCAGGCGTGGCTTGGCCTGGTAACGAGCGTTGGGGGGGTGGGAAAATAGACGTTAGATTTGAGTGGGCCGAGACTTGGTATGGTGGCGCTTGGGTCGATGCCCTGGCAATATGACGGTGTCGGGCAGTTGGCCGAGCAGCATGAAATCAATTGCCAGACGCCATTTGGCAGCTGGGGGTGGCACGGGTTGGTTAGTCAGTCGTTAGGTGATAGCTGATGGGTGATGACGGCTTACCTGCACCCTCGATGGCGAGCAGGAACCAGGAGAGGGAGGCCACAAAGCGCATAAAGTAGAAAGCATCGTTAATCAGCCAAACGGAAAGGCCGGGACAGTAGTAGAATATGAAGCGCGTCCACGTCCAATTCGAATGGCCGAGGGCCTGCAGCGCCTGATCGCATATGTTCAGCAATGGCTGCCATATGGTGAGCAGCACGTAATCAACCGCAAAGAGCATCACGAACAGCTCTAGCAGCAGCAAGAGCTTCCGCACCACTGACGGGCACCGCTTGAGCCACTGGGGCCGGTACTGGGTGAGGGTCAGCAGCAGGCCGTTGGCAAAGAACAGCGTTGCCCAGCTGACCGGCAGCGGCTCGGGCACCTCGTCGGGCAGCTTGCTGGCCTTCAGCACGCGTATCACATGCCACTGGTTCCACTGGAGCAGCAGGTTCAGCGACAGCACCAGCATCGACTCGTAAAACTCTCGCACCAGCTCCTCGGCTCGCCTCTGCAAGCGGCGCATGCGCAACTGTCCCATGGCTCTCGAGTGCTCTTCTCGAATTTGGAATCACAATTCTCAACAACAAAAACAAAAAAAAAAAAAAAGGGTAGCTTCAACTATGCTAGCTATAAACGATTTGAAGTGCTTTTGCCTTATATTTATTTATTTTATTTATTTTTGGTGCGTATGAAATGAACAAAAAAACAACGAGAAAACAACGACAGACTCAAAAGTCAAATACGTTTGAGCTTGGCTCCGTATTAGTTTCGACTGATCAAGTCAATCTTCTGACTGACAATTTCTATATCTATATATGTATAACAAAAAAAATGGTGTAAATTTTTCTTTGTGTTTCTTTTCATTCTAAAAGCCAAAAGATTATTTTAAATTAAATTTATTTGTATTTGTTTGAGCAACAAATGTCAAATATATTTGAGTTATTTATCAGGGCTTTGTGTTACCTTCAACTAATCGAACCAAACATTTAACTATATGATTTTAAAATAGGATTAAATACTTTGGTCTCAATCCCAATCAAAGCGCGAAAATTAAATTTATAGGGTAAATTTCATAAGAAAATTTAAATATAAATTAAATGGAATATCATTACATAAAATTAAAAAGAAAAGGACAATTTTATATGCATATATAAAGCTCCATAAAAATTTCCTTTTGTTTCTTATTTTTATCTATTAATATTCAATTCAATTTGCACTATAATTTTCCTATAAAATGTACCCTATAAATTTATTTTATTTTTTATCAGCTTAAATTTAAGTTTTATTAAATTAAACAATTTTTTTTCATAAGTGTCTGGATTATGTTCTTATTACGTCTATTCATATTCTTTGATTTTATAAAATTCTTCAGCATGTTTTTCACATATTTCCATAAATAAATATCTCTAAAGTTCGAATCGGGCCTGCTTTTGTTCGCTCGCACGTGCTGATTGAGAGAGCTGACTTGGAACTGGCCACGAAATCAATTTCTCTGCCAAATCAGCAGACTGTACGATACGGCCGGGGGAAGGGGGGCGCCCACTCACATTTGTCTCCACATATTGGAGCATGAGTGAAAGAGAAACCGTCATAATATATTCTCATACGTGAAGGGCAGAAAGGACACCCTAATCCTGCCCCGTTCAGTCAAAAACTTGCCATTGCTTCGCTGGCTGCTCCAATAAAAGTTGTAGTTGTTATACCCTATACTGATGTCAGATGGGCGTATAGCCCAATGTGAGAAAAATTCAGCTTGTTGGAATATATAAAGATGTCCAGTTTTTAATTGGAATTTCAATGAAATGGAGAGGAACTTCGAGAAGAGAATTTCCTAAATTCCGTTGAATTTTGATGAAAAGGTTAAAGAAATATGTATATGATAGTTCGCTGTTTCTAGAAATACAAAGAACTGTTGAATATAATAAATTAAGTAGAAAGCAAATTTAAATATTAAAAACTCCATAACAATTCGTCTAATTAATTATAAAAAAATATATATTAATATGCTGTTTCTTTTTATTTGTTTTTATTATTATTTATTTTTAATTAAATAATTTATTTTTCTATTTATTTATTTATGTTTACCATAGAGTCGAAATATTTTTATTTATTTTTTATTCATTTATTTATGTTATTTTAAATTAAATAATTAATTTTTCCATTTACCCATTCATATTTACCATCAAATCGAATTATACTATTCAGCTGAATAGATAGAAGGAATATTTGTATTGCTTTGTGGCTGCTGTAGCCACATACAGGGTATCTGCCAGTCATGCTGCCTTGTTGATTGTTGGCCGATTTATTGTTATTTTTCTTGTTGTTTCGCATTTTCTGCTCGACAAAACGGTAGACCCTAAAGTCACCGGCGTCAAGTAAACAAAGCTGCCACCGACTACAAAGTGTCTATGGCGACGGCTGTCGTTGAGCCCCGAAAAAAAAAGAAAAATGGGACGGTGCACCACACAAAACACGGATTGAGTCAGAAAGAAGCTGAACTATTCGGCTGACTATGCTTAAGAGACTATTCCATAGAAATAGTTAGAAGATATATTTTTAGAAAATTCTGCTAAAATGAAGAGAAAGATTTCTAATCAAAATAAATAAAATTAAATAAATAAATAAAATAAAATAAATCAAACATCAATAAAATAAACTAAACTAAAAAAAAAACTATATCATAATAATTGTTTAAAAAATCATTATGACAAAAATGTAAAAACTAAGAATATTTTTTTATATAATTTTTTTAATTAATTGATTTTTTTTTAAATTTTTATATATGTATATATATTTTTTTTCTATTTTTTTTATTTGTGCATCAGCTGCAAGGAATGCTCATTTTTTTAGGTGAACTCTGTTCAATTTCCAATTGATTCTTCGATGAAATTTTATTTTCATATAAACGTTAGACGAATTGATTAAATTTAATAACAAAACATTTAAAATTTGTAGGATAAAAAAAAAAAAAAAAAATAATAAAAAAAAAAAATAAATAAATAAATAAATAAATAAAAATAAATAAATACAAAATAATTGTATAGCAATATAAACATTTAAATTGAGAAATTAAATATTTGAATTATTTATATAAATATGTAAATTATTTATAATGCTTTAAAATTGAGCTCGATTCAATTTAATATTGATTCTCATCTTTTGCTGAATATCGTTTTTAGCTTTATACTGAGTGAAGGAATCAATAAAAATACATAAAGATTCATATTCCTATAGAATTTAAATGTGTATATGCAGTGGCTAAATTCGGAGCTGTACTTCTCCTATAATGTTTTGCTCCAAAACCTATTTCAAATCAAAACGAATGTATACAAACCCCAAACCGATTAATATCATTCGATTATAATCGATATCGATATCAATAGGAAAGCATTAAAAATATTGTTCGAATAATTTTTCGTCTTACACACTTTAATAATATACTAGTAATCCCATTAAAATTGATTCCTTGTAGGGCATGAAACTCAAGCTATTAAAAATGAGAAAAGAAATGCAATTAAGCAAGCTGCTATCAATTGCAAATCGACAACTTTGTCGCCTGTCAACTGTCAGTTGATGTGCTTAAGTGTGTGCGTGCGAGCTTCTGTGGTTGCTATTGAATCCACCCACTGACAGTGGCGCTGTCAGTGCCTTCATCTGTGGATTGCTGCCGCTGCCGCTGCCGCTGCTGCTGCTGTATTTGGAACTGGTCGTCGTCATATTGTGTTTGGCAAATCGTTTGCGATAAAGCCAACTACATAATGTCTCTGTAGGCCAGGGTGCGACCCGGGGGCCGAGGGGCGGCACATAAAAATGCTAAACCAGCGCTATGCTGGCGTCGCAACGACGCAAACACCCAGCTCATATGACCGACCATATAGTAATGTATGTGGCTCTCCCTTTCTACCCGTCTGTGTGTGTGTGTGTGCATGTGTGTGTGTGAAATGGCAGGAGATGGTTGGACGCAGTATAATGCGCGTTATCCTTGATTGCCTGCTTCGATAGCAGGATATGAGGCGGCTGCAAACAAGCCGCTCAACGTTTCTTATAAACGCACACACTTGGCCAAAGGGTCACAAGACTTTCGGAGCAAACATGCGATGGGTAGATGGATTCAAAGATTTATTAATATATGTATATATGTATATATAGCTATATGTATATTTATGTATAGATGCTTGACTTACACTGTTCCATTTGCTCTGTAAGATATCTGTCTGGATGGGTAGATGGACTTAAATATATATTAATAGGTATATCTAGACTATGTAAGGATATTAGAATCTATTTTATGTTATTCTTATATATGTATCTATCTATCTATCTATCTATACTTCGATTTACTCTATAAGATATCAGTCAGGTATCTGAGAAAATATTTTGATGTAGAGAAAGATGGCTATATATATCAAAAGACATATTGATATTTAACTGTCTATAGTACGTAAATATATCTATCTTATATTATTAATCCATTATTATTAATCCATTATTATTAGTCCATATTATTAATTCATATCCATCTATAGTTTCTATAGATTGTATCTGAGTAAAAATGTGAACCAGAAAATTAATATATGACCATCTAGAGTACTTAAAATATTTATTTATTTTATTTAAAATATTTTCTAGTTTATTTTTCAATTCAATCCACATCTATCTATAGTATCTATAGATATTAATATAATTCCTTTCATTTCCATCTCTTAGATATCTGAGCAAACATAAATGTAGAGTAAGCTGGGTGGATAGATCAAAAGATATATTAATATATGACTATGTAGAGTACATTTGATATTATTATACGGATATGATTCTTGGGCTAACTATGTCCACGATATCATTTAGATATGGACTCTGGCTTCTATTTATCTTCAAAGTGAGAAACTAAAATGCTCTCTCAGCTCTGAGTATGACTATGCTAAGATCAAATAATTCAATCTCTTAGAGTATTTAATCTTTGACTTGTCGCAGATAGTCGGCATTCATTGTTTTTCTTCTTCTTCTGCGTTTCTTTGTGTGAGACTATCGTGATTTTGCTCTTATTTGGTGCGCCTTCTCCTTCTCCTTCTCCATCTCCTTCTCCATCTTCTGCTGCTGCCTTTGTTGTTGGCGTTGCTCATTTTCTGTTGGCCTTTGGCTTGTCTGCTTTGCGCTGTTCCTGTGCTCATCATCATTTGGCAAAAGGGCAAGCAAAGAACTCATTGGGTTTTGATTGGTGTAGCACACACACGCACACACTCGCACAACTTGGCTAGCTAGCTACCATGGCTAATTGATTTCCAACTGTAGACTGTCAATGTTGTTTAGCCAAGTAGCAACTTGTGGACATGGCCAACTAAGCAACTAAACAACAATTTTTAATTGTGCTCCGCTCCAAGTTGCCGTCATCGTCGCCATCATGGCACTGCATGAGTGTGCGTGTCTGTGTGTGGGTGTGGCACTGGGGCGGTTCGCTGATGCTGGGGCCAAAGGCAAATGAGCGCTCCGAGAAATATGAACGAGGTCAATGATTGTTTACACTACACTCGAATGCTGTTTACTCGGAGCTATCGCAGCCAACGACGCAAAGAGCTAGAGATT